GAGATAAACAAAATTAAAGAAAGAAAATAAGGAAGTTAATTTCAGATAATGATTAATCAATAATTACTATTTAATTAGCTCGTTAAAATGGGCGTGGTTTAGGCACCACGTGATCATGCCGGTTCTATAAGACCTTGAAAATGGAAACCGGTACCGGTTCCGTAGCCACTTCGAAAAATTAAAGTTATAAATAAGCCACACCCACCTATAGTGACTGATAGTTTGCTCCGTTTTGAGCTGGTCAAAGCAATTAAAAATATAAAAACACTTGCAGTACACACAAAAGTCATAAAGGAACAGATAAATCAAAGAAAAACATTCATAACCTGGACAGTTTTCTATACAAGTGGTTTACAAATGACACCACTGAAAAACAACTAAAATGGCTATAAATCTGTCATTATAAGTGGCACAGACAAGCCAATACCTTCAGTACACGCAGCATAGTTGTGTTCATATTATATCTAAAGGACACTCACCAAACAAGTCTACAGTAGAGTAAAAGTGGTTCAACAAAAATATGAGAGGCCAACACATTTTGTAACATAGCTCTTCAACAAAGACACTGATTGAATCTGTAAATGCGGGACAACACAGCTTATACATCCAAGATAACATGTACTTACCTAATCTGGTTAAAATGACCACTTTCAAAAAATATAAAATACACTCACTTATTCAACTAGCCATTAGGGAGAGATTGTTACCATCCCGTAAACTATCCGTCAACGGACTTTTACAGGCTTCGCCTGTATACTATACTGGGGCTTCGCCCCAGTATACTATCTTATAACAATATAGAAATTAAGTATAGATACGACAATCAGTGGGGTTGAGGCAGCAGGATCGTGGTGGCTCAGTGGGGCAGAATGTGGACGTGGTACTGGTTCGATTCCAGCTCAGGGCAGGGCAAATTTGCTTTTCTTTTTTTTTTACTTTCAAAATTTAACTTTTTACCTTTTCTACTGACTTAGCCTTCTCCTCTAGTTATGTTAGTCCCCTAGTTGGCTATTGTTTTTTTAGGACTTAGCTATTGTTTTTAGGGTTTAGGGGTTAGGGTGGCGGTTTTTTTTTTAGAGCGTCCCTACTCAATTTAGGAGCCCCTTAGTTGGTTTAGGGTTTAGTTTTTTTTATTTCAGAGAGTCCCAAGGCTTTAAAAGTCCCTAGAGCAGTCCTGACAAAAACTAAGTTCCATTTTGCACTGATGCGCATGCGCACAAACTTGTTTTACAGACATTTACGGGATGGTAACAATCTCTCCCTAACGGCACTTAGCATTCATAGAGCCACCATTTTAGCCAAGAGCATGGCACACAGGATATGACGTCATCCTTTGATCTTGTACAGCTTTAATTGGAAACCGACTTCCTGTTTCTTATCCATGTGTGTATGTAGTATCTATGGTCCTGCATAGTTAATACGTACATAAATTTATTGTCCAAGTATAGAAGTGTCTTAAAGACAGACTATTCATGAATGATTGTCCTTTACATGGATATCTATGATCATAGGGGTAGGAACAGGGGGGGCAGGAGGGGCTTAAGCCCCCCCAACTTTCATTGAAGGGGGGCTTAGCCCCTCCAACTTTAAGTGATGTACATGTATTACTATTATGAACACTATAGACTTTAGTTTAGGTAATCCTTATATATGTGCATATTGTGTGATGATTTGTTTAATAAAACAATTAATGCACTAGCTTAACTTCTAAGAACACACTTTTATTAGTTTTTTCAGAAATACACAAGCTTCTACTTCTTTATTTAACAACTCTGTTAACATCAGCTTCAGCTGAGCATACATTTTCGACGTTAAGGAGATTAAAAACTACTTGCGCTCCACAATGTCACAAGAGCGTCTTAATCATGTAGTTATTTTGCATACACACAAAGAATTTACAGATGATTTACACATCGAGGACATTGCAAAGGAATTTGTTACTTTAATGAGCATAGACGCTAATATTTTGGACAGTATTAATTTCAGTACATGCTATGTAATAATGATCAATTGTAAAAATAATACCTTAGCCCCCCCAACTTTTAGTTTGTTCCTACCCCTATATCTATGATCCTGTCGGGCCCGCATCAGTCCGTCCGTCCGTCCTTTTTCGGGCGGGGCGGGTCCGTCCGTCCGTCCGCTTTTGAGACCCCCCTTTCCAAATTCCTAGATACGCCCCTGTATGTGCCACATGAATAGTTCAGTAATGCATACTCACTCACTCCTACATACTCCTACACACATACTTATACTCCTACCTACTCCCACTTCTCTTGTAGCCCGGCTATAGCAAGACTTCTTCTCCTCCGCTGGATAAAGGGATAATAAACCTGTGTACTCTGTGAGCTGCTTTTGTCTGTCCCAGGCTAGTTAGTACTATTCTGTGATCTCTATAACTACTGCTGTCCAGTGTCACCACACTATACCCAGCAATATAGTGTAATCAGTATCCCACTTCATTTTAATAAGGTTAATTTAGTTTTATGATATGTACATGTATATTATAATGGTTCACTTATTAAAATTAAATCATTGAAAGTTATCAGGTTCACGTTATAGTACTGAAGCCTTAATTATATAATGCCTAGCCTGGCCCTGATCTAAAAATATATACAGGAATTATATTATGCTAACAAAATGATCTCATACTGCACCATTAGACCATACTCTAGTAATTATGATTAGTTAATGCATGTACACGTTTGCAAATCAATTATTGTTCTAATGGATGCTTGTGATTGTTAGGAAGCATTATTTCATGAGGTCTATTGGGTAATGCTGAGAGAGTTTAACGCTGGGAGTAAGCAATAGCTGTTAGGCTATAAATGAACTGATATCTTAAAGGAGTAAAACTTAGAGAGAAGAATCACACAAAGAACTAAAACATTAAGATAGAGAACGAGAGAACAACTCAC